CCCATAACCTATATGGACTGAAAATAATTATTATCAACCAAACTCTAACTTCTAACACCAAGAAGATGAAAGAAGATAGGAAAATTTGAGTGTAGGAAGCTTACTTTTAATGTTTATAAGCTCTAAAATACTCTCAATAATTAATTTTTTCAAGTCCTAGTACAGCTCTTCAGAATCACTCTTTTATATCCCTTTTCTCTCATTTTTGCGAATTGCAGACAAACTTATTTCTGCAAAAAAGTGTCCATGATCCATAAGCTGCAGTGTGTGGAACAAAACTTTTCCCTTCAAATTTCTTCCTCTTTTCATGCTCGAGTGACTCGATTCTCCTTTGGACCCATGTTTAGGGCTGTAAATCACAATCAAATACACTTGTTAAACCTTTCTGGCTATACACCTCACCAATACACTTAGTTAATCTAATTTAAGCTTAATTAATCTGGTTTAAATTCGAGGATATTACAACCAGGATGTGGGCTATCCATAGGGGACTAATTGATGAAAGCTTGGTAGTGTGAGCTAACAAGTTCTAGTATTCTACATTGAATAGTATAAAATATTTAATGAGATATTTAAGTGGGTTAATTTTCTCGTATCAACGTTTAGCTTTTGAGATAAGATTTTTAATCCCACTTAATCCTAATGCGCTTCCCATCTATAAACTGTTTGATTGCCATTTTACCAGTAAAATGTATTTCAGATTCCATCGTTTGAAGTAATGGGGATTACATCAAAAAACCAATGTAATTTCCATTTCCCCCATCAATTTACCCAAATGTCCCTCCCTCTCCTTTCTTCACACTTCCTCTGCCTGAACCTCACTGCCCCTTGCCCATCTCCCTCCTCCCCCGACTTGACGCCACTCTCCCTCCTTCACTGTAACTCACGACGGCGTCCTCCCTCTCCTCCTTCGTTGTGCCCAGAAATCTCTTGATTCCATAGCCTCATAGTAGCGTCTTATCTATCTTCTCTCTTCATCCCTCGCTTTACAGATCTTCATCAAACGTGTTCGCAGATGTTGTCACCATTTGTTGCAAATCTCACTGTTGCAATCTCCATTTTAGTTTGTATGTCGCAATCCTTTGTCATTGTTTGCGTTTCTGCATTTCCCCGATATTGATTATGACAGGGAAGAAGAAAGGTGGTTGAAGAGAAGGAGGCGGAAGAAAAAATTCTGATGATAATTAAGGGTATTTCAATATTTTCATTTTATAATTGTTAAAATAAATAAAAAAATTCTCATTCTTCTCAACATTCCTAAATTGATACCAAGCAAGCCAATTGTAATCATTACATTACATTTTCTTTCATTACATTCCATTTTATTTTTTATTATTCAATACATTACATTTTTTTCCATCACATTCCATTTTATTCCTTATTATTGACGGGCATTTAGGTACATACTAATATGATATTTGGGAAATGGTAAAATAAATTTATTTTTATATTTAGCTAAATCCAAATAAATTAGAAAGATAAAAATATTCTATTTTTTAAAAAATAAAAATACTCAAAATAAAAATGATTATTTCAAGTATTCCCTTCGTTCAAAAATATAAAAAATTTTTTAAGAAATTGAATGTTCAAAAATATAAGGCATTTTTAATCTTTTGAGACATAATCATTATCTTTTTTTTAAAGTGTTTTATTGATAATGACTTTATATTTATTATAGGATGTTTAATAAAAGTAAAGATGAAAAGAGAGAGTTAATTTGTAATCTTAAAACAAAAGGTAAAAAGAAAATAAACTATATAATATTATTTTCTCTCTCTTTCACTTTTCAAGAGTAATTTAAAAAATTTAATTTAAAATAAAATAATTTCATCAACCAATGACTTATAAAATGAATTAAATTATATTTTTAAAAGGTATTTAATATACAAGACGGGAAGGAGTATATGCTAGCATCAAGAGTAGGGTTCATTTCAATTTTAATTCTTTTATTTTATGAATTTTCACTTCCAAAATTTTCTACGAGTGTGCGAGAGCGTGTAGGGAGTCCTTTGTGGGACTTTGTGTCATCCTAAAAGAATTATTAAATTCATGGTCCATATATCGGTATACCTTTAGCTCTTTTTTTTTTTTTTTTTTTTTGTAAAAAAAGGTTGTGTTTTTTATGCTTGAATCTGATATCATCGTTGTCCTTTGGTAAGCCATGGCTAGCAGTATAAGTGATTCAGATGTGCTTGAAAACACACCCTCGTCTCAGTACACCATTGACGACAGTTTGACTGCAAAAAAATTGCATTTGGCAGGTCCATGGATAAAAGATTAAATTGTTTATTTTATTTATAAAAGTATAAATTTAATTCATAACTCTATAATTTCACCCAATTTTTAGTTAGGGAACCAACTGCAAGTATAAGGTTGAGCTGCATAAAGGTTGTGGTGCAAACAAAATAACTCCCAACCCAAGCGACAAGTTGACAATCAAACCGTTGAAAATGAAGATTGGATGTTACGAACTTACTGATCAAATTTCAATCTAATTCAATTGTTAACAAATTCACAGACTCTAATTTACCAAGACTACCCTATAAATATGCAAAAATGACTTTTTTACTTTTTCTCTCACAAGTGGCTGCACATGAATGTGAATATGACTCCTTTAAATTCAGGATGGAGGATAATAACACTAAGAAATGTTGTCACTTTTTGAAAACTTACTTTTTGTAAAAAAAATAATATTTTATAGTTTTGGTATCATGAAAGCTATCATAAATAAGAGGGAGACCAAAGGAGATTAAAAATGATATGTCTATTACTATTATATTGAGTACAATATATACAAAAAGGAAGGGAGACAACCTAATAATAATTATTTATAATAATATCTTATTAAATAATATCTCTCACTAATGACATAATAAATAATAATATATCTTTAAAATATTCTAGATAACAAGTAACATTCTATTCAGCCATGTTGTTTATGTCTAAATAATGATCACATCCCCATGAAGTTTGTTGAAATATTTTCAAATGAAGAGATCAAATAAGAGAAAAATTCTAAGCATTAAAATCTAATATTTCAAGGTAATAGGGAAAGGATGTATGCATAGACATAAATTTTTCAATTGACACCCATATGAAGGATAAAGGGATTTGATAAAAGATTTGATAAACAGAGTTTTTATGCTATTAGGGTGTAGTGAGTTAGATGATAAGTAAAGATTTGGGAAATAATTTTCCTTCACTAATTAACAAATTTCACTTACAAATTCATGTTTTGAGGATTGCAAATAAGAGTATAAGGTAGTATCATTCGAAATGTCTATATGTTTGACAAGTTTTTCATTTTCAAACTAGCAAATTTCATTTATAAATTCTTATTTTGATGGTTTCAAATCATGACATATGAGAAATTTGATCTTTATTTTAAATTTCCAAATCTTTTAGTACCTATTTAAATTTAATTAAATATTTTGGTCCTTTAATATCATTCCCCCTCAATGTATTACTTCTCACTCATTATTGATAAATATCTCATTGCTTTAAAAAAAAAAAAGTGCTTTCGCAACCCCATATTGCATTTATGATAGTGTCCAAGCCATTTTGTTTTGTGGCGGTAAATCAAAATGAAAAAAAATTAGCATTTGGGCTTTGGGAATTGGCCTTTCATTTGTTGACGTAATTTCTGCCCAATAAACTTGTAAAGCCTTTTTAACTTTCTATATCATCAATTAATATCGATAATATTCTACCAAAAAAATATCGATATTACAAAACTTGTAAAGATTCGTAATCTCATTAGGGTTATATATATAATTTTCTTGCTAACCTATTTTAAGTACATTTACTTATTTCTTCATCTCGTTAATTTTTAATGATATTTTCATGAGGTTTTTATAGATATAATTCATTTTATAAGATCAAATTAAATAAACAATCCAACATTTATTATGTTATATATTATGATTGATTTATTACATTTTTAATAATAAATTATTATATATTAATAATAAATTTATTGTAAATTTTTAAATTTTCAATGACCTTTTTTATATTAATGATTAATTTATTATATATCAATATGAATTAGTTATATGCTTAAATTTTTAAAAATTTAATCTATATTTTTTTAACATAATTTTTTTTAACCAATAAGCCAATTTACCCTATTTCGTTTTGATCCAAATTCCTTGGTGCTTGTAAACTGTTAACTCCAGATGACAGGTTTTTACTTTTTTCAAACATCGAGAGTCGATTGTTTCGTTTTAATGTTGACTTTTTTGGTTGTGATATCTCCCCGGAATCTATGGGAGAGGAGCTCCTCATGTTTCTCTTTTTTGGTCATTCTTTTTACTCCACTTCTCAATTATAATTATCGATATCATTACATTAAATAAATTTATTTTAGTCATAGATTTAATAAATAATTATGATTATATCACCAGGAAAAAATGATAATTAAAAAAATAAAAAGATCCCTCTTCCCTTTTATTGAATATCTCATCTTGTTTACTACTCTCCCTAATATTTGACTGTGGGTGTCTTTACTTTCCTTTTTCTTTTTCCCTCCTTTCAAAATGATGCTGTTTGGATTGTTTTTTAAAAAGGCACATGAAAATAATATTACTCCTATTTTAATTTATAAAATATTTTTAAAAAAGATTCGACGTTTCAAAATATTTTATATATTAAAAAAATAAAGTTTTATTAATAATATTTTTTAACATTACCTTTTTCATGATATTTTTTCTTTAATATTATCTCAAAATTAAAGTATTAAATAAATGGTATTTTGTTTAAAAAAAATTATAAAGCATATTTAATAAGCTTTATTATCATACATAAACACAATGTATTATAAATTGAGATGGGGAAAGTAAAAAACAATGAAAAAGAAAATATCCTCCCCCTCTCAATTATCTACTGTGCTCATATTTAATGTCTAATAATTTTGTGGACAGATTTGATTCCAATGTGATGATACCGGACCGGTGATGAACCCTTAAAAAAAAAAAAACATTTTTTATATACCAAAATTGTCCAAGTCAACCTTCGCTTGGAGAGGAAGCCGCGGGAGCAACCAGAAACATAGACCTGTCGAATGATGGCATTAAAAATAAAAGCAATCTGTGTGCGAGCGATGATGCGATTGAGTCTGTGTATAAGAAGACACAGCCATCATTGTCTCCCCCACCTGATTCACTTTTGAAACTTCTTCACTTGGACCTAAAAATGGCGAACCAATTAATGGAATTGCTTCCTAAAGAATATGGCTTTGTGGCTATCGTCCTCGTCTTCTACTGCTTTCTCAATTTCTACATGGCAGCTCAAGTCGGCAACGCTCGCAGAAAGTACCTACGTCCCCATTCAATTCATCATTCTTAATATTTACGTGCTAGTTTATTTGCCTACAAGCTGTTTGTCGAAATGCCTCGCAGGTATAATGTGTTTTATCCGACCCTTTATGCTTACGAATCTGAAAACAAAGATGCTAAGCTCTTCAACTGCATACAGGTCTCATCTTTATCAATTTTGCTGGTTTTTTTAATCTCATTATTTGATTTTTCACCGATGATTCTTCTTTTCTTTGTAGAGAGGGCACCAAAATTCCCTGGAAACGATGGCGATTTTCTTCATGCTAATGATTCTGGGTGGGCTGAAGCATCCCTGCATTTGTGCTGCACTCGGAGTTGTATACATCGTTGCCCGATGTTTCTACTTTACTGGCTACTCCACCGGCAAACCGGCCAACCGGCTCAAGATCGGGTATGCTCTCTCCTCTTTCATATTTTTTGGCAAGAAAAAGAGGCCCCAAGGCCTACAACTTACGCACGGCTAGACAAATGTCAAGCCCCAAACAAAAGCAAAAAAAAAAAAAATGATAAACAGAACCCAAACACCTAAGTAACCTCAACCAGGATCATGCTCTCTCCTATCTTTTCGATCAAATCTATATTCAATGTGTAAAAGAGTAAATTGACATCTTTAAATTATCATAAGTCAACTTCCGTGCATAGCAGCAGCTCTGCGCACCATTTCACCCCCAACAAACAAATTGAAAAAAAAAGCATTTAAAGATCTTTGTGTCAAATTTATATCACACAAGAATCAAATAATTTGGTATTTGCTCTACAATCTTCTGGTCCTTCTTTTATATTAAATTTGTAAGCAAAATGATGTAATTGCCCCTTAAATTAAAAAAAAAAAAGAAAACTGTAACACTCTCAAATTTACAAACCGATTTTTCACAAATTATTAATTCAATAAATTATTTTTTTTTCATTGAACCCTTATCATGGTAGAAAAATTTCTACCATGATACATCCAAGACAATATACCACAGGTCTTAAAATATTTCAAAAAGCAATTAGGACCATAAGGGACAGACAGGATTCTCATGGTATGATATTTAAATCAGGTCATGAATCAAGAGGGACAAACATAATCCTCTTGATCATATAAATGCATTTAATAAAAAGGATTAGAGTTTATATGTTGTCAAAATAAGAAATGTCCTAGGTTGGCACAAGATACATTGCATAATACAAAATGAGAGGCAACGTAAAAGATGGTGTCTCATACACCAAAGTTACGCCTCTGGTGTTTTCTTGGCCAGACTCGCTCCTGTAAAATTGTTAATCACGGGGAATGAGACTTAAAAGTCCCAGTAACCAAAAATTAATATGTAATGATGCATGCGGATGTAACTAATCATGCAATTGGTAAGTGGGCACACAAAAACATTTAACCGAACAATATTTCCAAACAAACCGAATAAGTATTTAATTGTATGACTACACCTTATATCCTCCTTTCGGCATGCTCGGACGCCAAATCACCCGGCCAAAGGTGAGTTGGACCAAGCGACACGTCACTCATTGGGTCCAATGAGGGCTTACCACGTGGTAATAATTAATCGAACAGAAATTCTCATTAACACCATACATTAAAATACCCTGACAAGTCATGCATCATTCAAATATCCAAACAGAAATATATCTGAACAATAATATCTCATCATGATAAATAAAAATAAATTTTTGACCCACTTGGCAATAATTTCAAACAAGTATATAACAGTATTTATTTTCAATAATTCATAATTTTTTTCAAACAACAAGTCAACACATAACTATTCACAAACACACTCATCACAACACATTAATAATGGTTACCTTGTGTCTTGAATAACAAGTTCCCCTTCACAACTCCTCTTTTACCACTATCTTTGTCAACACAATCTACATAGTTATTTCATAATACTATATATTAATTTTACATTAAAATAAATAATTCTAATTTAAAGAGTTAGAAAGTCTTAGATCTATAATCCATATTAGCACTAATTTAAGATTTATGCCTCATTTAACTTCTCAAATTCTTTTCTAAAATTTTGGTACCCTAATAAACTATTTTTAAGCCTTAAATCACTTCTAGTATCACAATTTCATCCTTCTATATTCTAAAAATTCGTTCAAAAATAAATTAAAAATTTAAGAATTATCCTGAAGCCTCAAATCAGCTTTCTATAACCTCAAAAATACCTACTCATACTTAAATAAATATTTAATAATCAGAGGTTCATCCCTACATCTCAGATTCACCATAAATTCAACCATATAGATCTAGAGTTTAATTCAAAAATTCTTAAACATGAGTTTCAACCTCAAGAAAATATTCTATAATATTTATTATATCCCTAAGAATTTCAACCTATATTTTTAATCCATCATATCATCAGATTAACTATCCTATAGAAAATCCTAATCAAAATATTTGCTCTATTCTAAAAAATAATCATATAACTAGAAAGCTAATACTATTTAGAAAATAACTGTAAAATTAATTTTGTAATTAAATAATTTTTTAAATGCTAATCTAAACAGGAAAGTTGGAGCATACCTGAAGAAAAAGAAAATAATCCCCCCTTACGAGAAGACGCCGAGCAATGTGAGAGGAAGAGAGAAAAATAATATAAAAATGGGATTTTGGTCCCACAATTATGTAAAAAAAAAACTATAGGTTTGAATTTAATTATTCAAACTCTTGGGCCAAAAGTTGTAATTTTCTCTAAATTGCATCTTAGCCTCTCATGCTTCCTAATGCACACACCCCCTCCTTTTTATACATGAAGGCACCTCTTCTCTTCCCTCATCTAACCAATGTGGGACTTAGAAACAACAACCTTCCACCCCCTTTTTTTTGTTCCTTCTACCTTTTTTTTTAACACACATAAAAAAATTATTTATGTATTATATCTTAACTAAATATTGCTTATGTGGTTTTAAATTTAAATTTTTAAATTCATAATTAAATACCTAACCATAATATCATTTCTAAATAACCTCAAATAATATAAATTCCTATTATTATCATTTTTTTCCTCAAAACATAAATTCCACAATTTTTTTATTATATAAAAATCAGGATGTTACAAAAACCACTATCGGATCCCTACCATTGGCAAGGTCACCAAAGCCCTTGCTACAAGTGGGGTTATTAGTAGTCGATCACCGAAGCTTCGGCATCAGCAACATATTTATTCAAGGAACAATTGTTTAGGTTGCTAAGGGAGGATTTGATCTCATAACTCTTGACCATATAAAAAGCTTGGTTGCTACTAGGCCACCAAACCCTTTAATTATATATAACAAAAAAAATTATATAAGTAGTAAACAAAGCTTCTAACTATTTTCATGTTAAAACATGATGGTATGTTGTTAATTTTTGAACGAAACTTGTTATTTTATAAATATTTTTTTGTAATATGATATGGATAATCACAAATTGAGACTTTTAAAACTTCACGCATTTTACTTTTTACATGTCCGAATGCATTGTTATTAATGACGAATAGGTTGTTGTAAAAAATAAAATCGATACTTGTTAATAACTTGTTAAAACCAAAATAAATTGTTAATTTTGAATGAATTGTTGTGAAAACATAAATGTATACTTGTTAATGAAAGATTAACACATACGATTAAGCTCATCTTATTCGTTTTCCTACTTGTTAAAGCTCGAATGGATTGCTATTAATTTAGAATGAATTATTGTTAAAACCTGTTATCCATTCGGGTTTTGATAACAACTCATTCTAAATTAATTACAATTCATTCAGGTTTTAACAAGTTAGAAAAACATGTAGGATGAGCATAATTGTGCATGTTAGTCTTTCATCAACAAATATCCATTCAAGTTTTAACAATAACTCATTCAAAATCAGCAATAATTCATTTAAAATTTAACAAGCTAAAAAAGCAATAGTCTATTAAACCTGTGCTTTTAATCATCAATTACAAGTGTCTGTTTAGGTTTTGACAACAACTCATTTTAAATTAACAGTAGTTCATTCGAGCTTTAACAAGCTAGGAAAACAGATAAGCTAGACTTAATCGTATATGTTAGTCCTTCATCAATAAGTATACATTTAGATTTTCACAACAATTCATTCAAAATTTACAACAATCTATTCTAGTTTTAAAAAGTATAAAAACTAATAGGATGGGCTTAGTTGTTTGTGCTTGTTATTTATTAATAAGTATCCGTTTGGATTTTGACAATAACGTATTCGTGATTAACAATAATACATTTGAACTTTTAACAAGTAAAATGTGTGAATTTTTAAAGCTCCCAACTTGTAATTGTCCAATTCAGATTAACGAGTAACATTTGTAAAATAAGAAGTTTTGTTCAAAAATTAATAAAACATTATTATGTTATGACATGAAAATGGTTAAAAACTTGATTTACTATTTATATTTTTTTTACTATATATAATTAAAAGACTTGGTAGCCACTAGGTGGCCAAGGGTCATGGAATCAAATCCTCCCTTGGTGACCTAAACTAATTATTTTTTAAATAAAAATGTCGCCTACGACAGGGGCTTTGGCAACCTCACCATTAGCGGTGATCCGACGGCTGGCATTGGCAAAATTGAGGGTTTCTTTTTCTTTTTTTTTTTTAACTAGAGGGGCAATTTGAACTTTTGGCTTTAAAAATTAATATCAATCAAGAACTAAGGGACTGCAATGCAATTTTGAAGTCAATCTTGACTGATGTTAATTTACTACTGATACCCTTGGATGCATATTTTCCCAAACAAGTTTAACTTACTTATTTAATTTGAACAATTTAAATTTAAAGTTTTGGTTTATATTCATTAAAATAAAGCATTTAAAAATATATGTTTATTATCTCTTTGAATAGTACAAACTTAATTTAAATGATTCAATTTAATATGAACCTTTATATAATTTTATAAAGTGACTATTTATTAAGATGTGCTATGATATTTGGATAGTCCCGATTTAATATTAATTTTTTTTATAATTTTATGTTAATAAATACAATATTAAAAAAAAGATAATCTTGCATTTTTCAAAAAATATTTTTTTTTGAAAAATATAACTTAAAAATTTTCAATTTGGACAGGTCAAAGTAAATATAGATATTCAATTCATAAAATTATAAAAAAAAAATGTCCAATATTGAACTAGTAAAATGACATATAAATACCTCTAAACTAAGAAATGACAAATTTATCTAGTGAAATGTGATAATGAAATTGGAATCTCAAAAGACTTTTTAGAGATTACATTTCTATGTGAAATTACTTTAATACCATTTTGCAATCTAAAAAGTTGTGATTTCTTAAATTTTTTAGCCATTAATGAAATCAAACTTGCGATTAGTTATATCAAACTTGTGAATATTATAAAATTAATTACAAAGGGGTACTAAAATAATTTTATATAAAAATTTAATCTCAAATAAGTTCCTTAAAACCTTATTATCATTATCACATTTCGCTCAAACAAGTTATCATTTTCTTATTTTAAATGAAATTATTTATCATTTTCCCAATTAAAGTTTGACCATCTAAATTAAATATAGATGGTTCATTCTAGTAATAAAAAAATTTATTAAAATTTATTTATTATTTTTATAAATTTTTATTTTAATAAATACAAAAAATTTAAATTACAAGGCTTAAATTTGGACCATCCAGATTTAAACCATAGCATTAACCTCTTGATGAGCACTGAAGATGATTCCTTAAAAGCAAGTTTTGTTAATAATAGAAGTTAGATTGCATCATTTTAAAAAAAATTGAAGGGGATCATTGTATTAAAAATAAGTTTATGATCCCAAACGCTTCTGAATTTATAACTTAGGGGTGAATTTGTTCATTTACCTATATTAAATTACAAATGTTTGGTTCATGTAATTAAACTTATTTGTAAGTCAATGAATATTCTTAATTGCAGGAAATATGGCATATTGGCACTTTTCGGTCTAATGATTTGCACAATATCATTTGGGTGCGCCCTCCTTCACCGCCAGCCTGTTAACCCTTAAATGTGAACTTAGATTTTAAACTTGGTTTCTTTAGCATGTTCTTGTACCCTCTCCTTTCTATCTTTGACTTTGTTGTGCGTAGTCATACATACAATGTGTAGTGACAATTTAATTTAATTCCAATGTACAGGGAATAAGATATAGGGACTGATATTAGCGGTCACTGTGTCTGTATTAAAACTAGTTGGAGTTTTAGTCCGGTGGATTGCCTATGCATCATTGTATTTTATGACCTATTGAAATGATAAGGAATGTAATGTTGATTACCATAAGTTTTTTTGATAAGTGATAGAAGTTAGAACCAGCAAAAAAATAACATAATAGAGAAGAGAAAATGCACTGAGTATGCTTTATTATGGTTGGAAAAATATAGAGAATACAATCATTAACACTGGTTCACAAACAAGCAGAAACAAGAACAAGAGCAAAACAAAGAAAAGAACCTCACACTTCCTGGGTTTGGAGAGGTCAAGCCATCTTCACAAAACTAAAACTACAACCTGTCCTCTTCTTTTCCTTCCCTCACCAATAAAATGCACCACCAGTAATATGAAATGTCAGGATGCGTGCTGCTTAGTTTCCTGACAATTTTGCCCTTCTGTACCTTGTTGGTTGTTTTTGGGCCGGGCCTTGTCCCCTTGGCTTTCCTTTCATATTCCCAGGCCCATCAATTAGTTGAGACATGGTAGTATGGAATATTAAATTTTACATTAAGTATTAGGGATGTACTTAATTGGATATTTAAATGGGTTAGTTCTCCTACTTCAACATCTAACTTTTAAGATCAGGTTATTTATCTCACTTAGATAGCCATTAATTGGTATAAAAACCAACTTGCCAATAATTCTAGAGAAAGCTACCTATAGAGGGTTTTGACCAACAAGATATTGAGTTAAATGTTATGAAATGTAGTTGCCAAAACAGCAACTATCTGATTAGGGGCTAATTGTTAATGACTTTGCAGTATAGGACATCAAGTGTTACATTAAATAACATGTAATGCTTAATGGAATATTTAAATGAGTTAATTCTCTCACATCAATATCTAGTTCTTGGGACAGAGCTTTCTATCCCATTTAGATATCCATTAATATGATATTTGACAAATGGCAAACTAAATTTATTTTTATATTTACTTAAATCCAAATAAAATTAAAAAGACAAAAATACCCTATTTAAAAAATAAAAAATACTCAAATTAATAATGGTTATTTCAAGCAACTACTATATATAGTCTTCGAACTATATAACAATTACCTAGAATAACTGTTATATAGTTATTTAATTTTAACTCAAATCCTGTTTCAATAATGCAATGGTTTTTTGAGGCATTATATACAACATTTTTTTAATAGTGTAATGGATCAAGCAATGCAGGCTTTGATTTTGGAATTCTCTTTAGTGGCTCCACGATCTCCATCAAATTAAACAAGGTGGGCATGCGTCAATCCAGCCTTGTGACAATTTTTTTTTAAAAAATTAATCATTTAATTCTCATACTTTTAATTCAGTTGTAATTTAATTTTAAATTTTAACTCATTATAATTCAATCCTTATAATTTTAATTTAATTATAATTCAATTACTAAATTTTCTCTCTTACAATTCAGTTCTTATAGTTTTAACTACTTAAATATTAATTTCTATATTTTAATAAAATTATAAATATTAAAAAAATTTAAAAAAATTTTCAATTTATAAGATTAAAAGGGTTTAGTAATATAAAATATTAGTAGTAAATTTTAACATAATTTTAATCTTTATAATTTTATTTTTTAAGATATAAAGATCAATAGTTAAGTAATTGAAATTGTAAGAACTGAATTGTAAAAGTCAAGATTTAGGAATTAAGTTATAATCAAATTAAAAATTTAAAAATTAAATAATTATAACTAAATTAAGACTATGAGAATCAAATTATTACTTTTTTTGTTTTGTTTTTTTAACAAAACAAAACTCATCTCACTCTCTAGTGTGGCGCGTGCAGTCAATGCGCTCATCCATTGGCTGAAGTACGAACAAGACTCGGCTTGTGACAGTGACACGAGTCCAATAGCGTGGCGCATGTAGCAATTCCGCCAAGGTGGCCAGTGTTCGTTATATGCTAGCATCGAGAGTGGATCAGGGATCTCTCCATTTTCTCCCCTTCCTTTCCCTCCACTTCTCCCATCCCTATGATTCATTAATTTTATTATTTAAAAAAATTATTTAATAAAAAAATTTGAATGATGTAAATGAGAGAAATGAAGGAAAATGAAGAGAAAAGTAGAGAGACCCCACTTCCATCGAGAGGGACCAGGGATCTTTCCATTTTTTCCCCTCCCTTTCCCTCCACTTCCCCCATCCCTACCATTCATTAATTTTATTATTTAAAAAATTATTTAACAAAAAAATCTTCTAAAAGTGTTTGAGAGCGTGTAGGGGGTCCTTTGAGGGACATTGTTTCATCCTAAAAGAATTTTTAAATTCATGATCTACATATCAGTGTGCTATTTGCTTTTTTTAAAAAATAATTATGTTTTTTATACATTTTTGTCATATCTATTTAGTGTGTGTTTAGTTTTCAATTTGTCAAAAGTTTATTTGATAAAAATTTATTTGACAAAAGTTAGTTTAGTGAAAGACAGTTGTTTAACAAAATTTGTGTTTGAATATATTTTTTCAAAAGTCAATTTGATATACTGAAAGTTATTTGGATTATGATGGTGAAATATACTTTTAAATGTACAATTATAAAAAAGAACATTAATTTATGATGATTTATAATTTTTATTATACAAATGTAATATATTAAAATATTTAAAAATGTGATGAAGATTTTAACTACATAAATTGATATATAATACTAAAAACTTAATCTTTAGTTATTGTACTTTTAATTTGTAATTTTAGAAAATGTGATAAAGATATGTAATTTTTATTATACATTAATGCTAAAATTAAAATGATTAATTATTAAATTTATAATGCTAAAACTTGATACCTAATTATTATTATTGAAATGATAATTACATTTTTAATGAATTGGATATTTTTTAAATAAAAAAATAAAAAATTAAATTTCGGATAGTATGATTCAATAACATTCTACTTTTAAATTTACTTTTTAAAGTTTTAAATAGTTACGTTTCTCAAATTTATTTTTAGTTACTATTTAAATGAGTTTTTAAAATGTGTTTTTTTATAAAATATTTTACTAAAATAACTTCCTACATCTTAAAGTGTAGTTTTAATTTTTGAATCAAGCAAACCAAACGGGCTGAATCTAATGTCATCGTTGGCTTTTGGTAAGCCATGGCCAACAGCACCAGTGATTCAAATGTGCTTGAAAACACAACCTTGTCCGAGCACACCATTTGAGGACAGTTTGACTGCAAAAAATTGCACTTGGCTGGCTCATGGATAAAAGATTAAATTGTTTATTTTATTTGTAAAAGTGTATTTTTCTTTATTTAAGGGAAAATTAATTCATAACCCTTCATAATTTCACCCAATTTTTAACCTGGTCCATTTTATTCATTGGAATTGTCTCCTCCAACTTTTCTCCATTATACCCATTTGCCCCTATTATTGGAAACCTAAATGAAGGATAAAGCGAGTTTTTAATCATAAATGACAAGTGCATATTTGGAAAATGGGTTGTCCTTCACAAATTAACAAATTTCACTTTTAAATTCCTATTTTATAGAAATGTTAATTTGTAATTTGAACCTTGAATTATAGATTCAAAGGAAATTTGAACCCTAAATTTTTAAAAGATATATTCTAAACTTTAAATAATTAAAATTAGGACAATTTTACTTCACCGTTAATTTTAACAAACATTCGTTAATTTTTTAAAAATTAGAGCTTGACATGCTATTTTACTAAATTATACTCTCCCTCTCTCTCATATCTTGGTTTGGCAAAAACCACACATTAGGCCTCATTTTGACAAATGTTTATTTAAACTTAACAGTGAAGATGAAATTATTCAACTTTAATTGTTTAGAGTTTAAAATGTACTTTTAAAAGTTTAAAATTTTAATCACTCCTAAATCAATAGTTCATGGTTTAAATTACATATTAACCTTTTAAAGAATGCAAGTAAAGACATATAACTGATAAATCACTAGAAGGGATTATATATTTGACAAATTTTTCTTTTATAAATTAGCGAATTTCATTGATAAATTATTGTCTTGATGGTTATAAATCCTGGAATGAGAGATTTGGTCCCTATTTAAATTTAATTCAATCTTTTGTCCTTTAATTTCATTCCCTTCATTTATAATTTAGCTTCCTTGTATTATTTCTCATTCATTATTGAAGAATATCACATGGCTTAATAAAAAATAAATAAATGTTCTTTCACTATCCCATATTACATTTATAAATTATAATAGTGCCCAAGCCACTTAATTTGTTTTGTAGTGGTAACTCAAAAGAAAAATATGAAGCCACTTTTGTTTGATAAGATATTTCCGTGGTCCGTGGATGAAAATCAGTAAATGTCATTTTCTTAATTATATCATTAAGGAAGAACTGAACCTTGAAAAGAAAGCTCTTGTAATAATCAAACTTGCAAAGTTGTGTCCAGCTCACAATAGCATTGGCTTTTTAGATATCTGTTAGTGTCCCAAACAGAAGATAAGCAATAAAATTCAGAATATAAACAAACTTGGAATCCGCTTGAAGATATATAACTGGGCTTCACTAAGATTAAGGGAAAAAGGGATATGAGAATATAGCAAGAGACTTTCTGTTTATTTCACCATATATATATATATATATATATATATTTGTCATAAACTTGAAATTAATTATTCCAGTTAATCCATCTACCATCAAAAGTCCACAACCACCCTTCCATTCATGTTCATTCGTCAATAAGAGGGTAACGCTGATGTTTTGAAATTAAACTTATACAATTTCGTATATATAAAAATAGTGAGTGAGAGAGAATGTTTGTGTTTTCTAACATTTATTCTTTAAATTTACCCAAATTATGATATTATGCTAATATGAATTTGTATCGTTAGTTGGAAAAAGAATTGTATTGTTAGACTCTAAATGAGTAGAATTTCTCTAATTTCCTATTCACAGACTTGAATTCAAAGACTTTGTTTAAAGGATTCCAAGTATTTTCTAATTAATCCAAATCAATGATTAAAAAACCATACTAAACCGGACAATCAGACCATTGATTGGTCAGGTTGATGGCTCGATCAAGCTGAAAAAACTGTTTGAAGAGTTGGGCCAGATTAAGTCACTTTGAACCGGTTGTC